TATTCGTGGGGGCTTATTGTTCCATATAAATTTCAAGAGTGTTTGCTCCATTTCTTTGAAGAAAGTCATGGGTATCCTTATAGGGATTGCATTGAATTTATACAATGCTTTCGGTAGTATTGCCATTTTGACAATGTTAAGTCTCCCGACCCATGAGCAGGGTATATCTTTCCATTTCCTCATGTCCTCTTTTATTTCCTGAAGTAGCGTTTTGTAGTTTTCTTTGTACAGGTCCTTTACTTCCTTAGTTAAGCTGATTCCTAGGTACTTGATTTTCTGGGGCACAATTGTGAATGGGATTGTTTTTTTCATGTTGCTTTCTTCTCTCTCACTGTTTGCGTATAGGAAAGCCATGGACTTTTGGGTATTGATTTTATAACCTGCAACTTTACTATACGAGTCTATTGTTTCTAGGAGTTTTTTGGTGGAAGTTATTGGGTTCTCTAAGTAGAGTATCATATCATCTGCGAATAGTGAGAGCTTGATTTCTTCCTTTCCTACCTGAATGTGCTATCGCTCCAGCCCTAAAGTAAAGGCCCTCCCGTTGATCGTCGATTTGCTCGAGCGGGCCCAGTAACGTCTCCATTGGAGACTTTGTTGTTACTGTGTCTGGCATATCGAATACTCTCGGTAGCTTGCCGGGCTCTCCGAGAGGGGCGGAGAGCCCGGAGCGATAGCACAGCGGGTAGGGCGTCAGCCTTACAAGCGGCCAACATGGTTGACCCGAGTTCGATTCCTCCGCCCCTCTCGGAGAGCCCGGCAAGCTACCGAGAGTATTCGATATGCCAGACACAGTAACAACAGTCTCCAATGGAGACGTTACTGGGCCCGCTCGAGCAAATCGACGATCAACGGGAGGGCCTTTACCTTTTTACCTTTACCTACCTGAATGCCCTTAATATCTTTTTCCTGCCTAATCGCTATTGCAAGTACTTCCAGTACTATATTGAACAGCAGTGGAGAGAGTGGGCATCCCTGTCTCGTCCCTGATCTTAGAGGGAAGGCTCTCAGTTTTTCCCCATTGAGGATGATGCTTGCTGTAGGCTTGTGGTAGATGGCTTTAATTATGTTGAGGAAGGTCCCCTCTATACCCATTTTGGGTAGGGTTTTCATCATAAAGGGGTGCTGGATCTTATCAAATGCTTTCTCTGCATCTATTGATATGATCATATGCTTTTTATCTTTTCTTTTGTTGATATGGTGGATTATGTTGATTGATTTCCGAATGTTAAACCATCCTTGCATCCCTGGGATGAATCCTACTTGGTCATGGTGTATGATCTTTTTGATGAGTAGTTGGATTCTATTTGCTAGTAGTTTGTTGAGGATCTTTGCATCTGTGTTCATCAGGGATATCGGCCTGTAATTCTCTTTCTTTGTGGTATCTCTGTCTGCTTTTGGTATCAGTGTGATATTTGCTTCGTAGAAACTGTTCGGAAGTGTTTTTGATATTTCAATTTCGTGGAAAAGCTTAAAGAGCATCGGGAGTAAGTCCTCTTTAAAGATTTGGAAGAATTCACTAGTGAATCCATCCGGGCCAGGACTTTTGTGCTTGGGGAGACTTTTTATTACCATTTCAATTTCCTTGATGGTGATAGGTCTGTTCAGGTATTCCAGGTCTTCTTGGTTCAGCCTTGGGAGTCTGTAGGAGTCTAGGAATTTATCCATTTCCTCGAGGTTTTGATGTTCCGTGGCATAAAGCTTCTCAAAGTACTCCCTGAGGATCCTCTGAATTTCTGTGGTTTCTGTTGTAATGACCCCCTTTTCATTTCTGATTCGGTTTATTAGGGTTTTCTCTCTCCCTTTCTTTGTGAGTTTTGCTAGAGGCTTATCGATCTTGTTAATTTTCTCGAAGAACCAGCTTTTGGTTTCATTGATCTTTCGGATTGTTTTTTGGGTTTCCATCTCGTTAATCTCTGCTCTGAGTTTTATTATTTCCTTTCTCCTGTTCGGGTTGTGCTCCTTTTTTTGGTCCTTCTCCAAGCTCTTAAGCTGTGAGGTTTGGTTACTTATGTGTGCTCGCTCCTCCTTCCTGAGGAATGCTTGTAGAGCTATAAACTTTCCTCTTAACACAGACTTTGCTGTGTCCCATAAGTTTTGGTAACTCGTGTTCTCATTTTCATTCGTTTCTAAGAATCTTTTGATTTCCTCTTTGATTTCCTGTCTAATCCACTCGTTGTTCAATAGTGCACTGTTTAATTTCCAGGTGTTTGATTTAGTTTTCTGTTTTTGTGTGTGATTTACTTCTAATTTCAGCGCATTATGGTCTGAGAAGATTGTTGATACAATCTCTACCTTCTTAATTTTATGGAGGCATGTTTTGTGGCTCAGCATGTGGTCTATCTTGGAGAATGTTCCATGTACGCTTGAGAAGAATGTGTATTCAGCTTTTTGTGGATGAAGTGTCCTGTATATATCTACTAAGTCCCTTTCTTCCATTGTTTCCCTCAGATGAAGTATGTCCTTGCTAAGCTTGAGTCTGGTTGATCTATCAAGAGGTGACAAAGCAGTGTTGAAGTCTCCCACTAGTATTGTGTTGCTATTGATGTCTTTTTCCAAATCTATGAGTAGTTGTTTTAAGTACTTTGCTGGTCTCTCATTAGGTGCATATACATTTATTATTGTAAGTTCTTCCTGTTGTACAGATCCTCTGATCAATAAGAAATGGCCTTCACTGTCTCTTATGACCTTCCTCACTCTGAAATCGATGTGGTCTGATATAAGGATGGCTACCCCAGCTTTTTTATGGGAGCTGTTTGCCTGTAGGATTGTTTTCCAGCCTTTGACTCTGAGTCTGTGTTTGCTTTGACTATTGAGATGCGTTTCTTGCAGGCAGCAGAATGTTGGGTTCAATTTTCTAATCCATCCTGCCACTCTATGTCTTTTAATTGGTGCGTTTAGCCCATTGACATTGAGAGAGATTATTGTTATGGGATTTTGTCCCATTGTTCTGTTAAAATTTGGTGTATTTGAGGGGCCTTTCTTGCCTTAAAGTAGCCCATTTAGTTGTTCTTGTAACCATGGTTTTGAGTCTATGAAGTTCCTGAACTGTTGTTTGTCTGTGAAACTGTGTGTTGTTCCTTCTATTATGAATGAGAGTCTTACTGGGAAAAGTATTTTTGGGGAGGCATTTATTTCATTGAGTTTTTTTACTATGTCCCACCACTGTTTTCGGGCCATGAGGGTTTCATCAGAAAAATCAGCTGTGAATTTTAAGGATGCTCCTTTGTAAGAGATTTCTTTCTTCGATCTTGCTGCTTTCAGAATTTTGTCTCTGTCTAAGGTTTTGGTCATTTTGATCAGAATGTGTCTTGGGGTATTTTTATTCGGATTTCTTCTAGCTGGTACCCTTCGGGCCTCCTGAATGTGGTCACAAGTTTTCTTCAGCTCTGGAAATGTTGTAGCAATGATTTCTTTGACAGTTTCTTCTTCATCGAGGTTTTCTTCCTGTCCCTCTGGGACTCCAATAATTCTTATGTTACCCCTCTTGGCTTCATCACGATCTTCTCTTGCCATCTGTTCCCGAATTGTGAGTCTCTTTTCCATTTTCTGCTCTTTTCTGGAGAGTCTCTGAACTTCATCTTCGAGCTCACTGATTCTGTTCTCAGCCGCTCTTACTCTGCTGCTGAGGCCTTCCACTGAGCTTTTCAATTCGCCTACGAGATTTTTCAGGTCTGACATTTCTGATTGCATTTTCCTCATTTCTGCCTTCAGATCCTCTTGTCTTCTATTGGCATTGGTTTCCATTGTTTCTTTTAATTCCCTAAGCATCCTAAGTAGCTCCCTTCTGAATTCCTTGTCAGAGAGGTTGTCTAACACTACAGTACTGTTGGTGTCATCTGGGCTAGATTCTTCAATATGAAAGTTTGGTGGGCTTTTGCGTTGCTTTACCATTGTGAGAGGTGTGGTTTAGTCCTTCATGTTCACTGTTACTATTCTGCTTGATATGCAGTGTGAGTTAAGATAGGCTTATGAGTTATTGTCTACTGTGTTTCTAGTGACTGAGCTAAAATAGAGAAGTTTCCATCTAAGAAGTTAGCTTATGGTTCCTATGGCATATGTAGTGGAAAAATATTTCGCGGCCGCGTCAGCGGCCGGGGCTCTGGAAAAAGTCACTGGCACTGGGCGAGGAGTTGGGAACGTCTCCTGTTTGGAATTGGAGCCGTTCAGCTTTGTTGCCCAGAGCTGGGCGTCTGTGCCCGTCCCACGCAGATCAGGGGTTGAAAACCGGCTGTCTAGGGGCTGTTTCTAGCTGCGCGTGCCCAGAGAGGGACCCAGGCCCTTGGGGGCGGGCTGTACCTGTTGGAATTGGAGCCGTTCAGCTTTGTTGTCCAGAGCTGGGTCTCTGTGCCCGTCCCATGCAGATCAGGGGTTGAAAACCGGCTGTCTAGGGGCTGTTTCTATCATTTACTTTTCTAACTGTTCCTTTTAGAATCCTTTAAGCAAAGGGCTCTGGCCATCATTTCCTTTAGCCCACTTTCTCTCCCTTTCTCCTTCCTGTTCATTCTGTAGAATCATAGAGTCACGTCTTATAAAATCAACTCACAGAGATACAGATTGAGTGTTGTCAGAATGACTATGGAAGCTACTCTGAGCTAGAGACCCACACACTGTCTCCTACCACATAGAACATAGCTTGTTTGTCTTCTGGCATTGGATTCCACTGTTGAGATATTGGTGACTTAGCATTTGGCAGCCTGGGTATAGGCAGTGTGTTAAGTACCAGAATTACGCCCAGGTGAAGGAGATTCTCCAGCCCTGATGAGCTCATGAGAATTGAGATTGGCCATAGGGAATCTAGAGACTTGATTCTTCATCCCACCTCATTTTCTAATTCTCATGTAGATTGTGATTATGCTGAATCATAGGCACAAATGATTGAATTTCGATACGCTGACAGATAACTGTACCCAAAGATGTAGCCACTGCATTTTATAAACTATTCAGACCTTTCTCTGACTGCGTAGATCTCAACAGCCCTCTGTTTTTCTGTCCGCCAGCATTTCCTTGGTTCGGCATGGATATCGGTGGGACGCTGGTTAAACTGGTCTACTTCGAACCAAAGGACATCACAGCTGAGGAGGAACAGGAGGAAGTGGAGAACCTGAAGAGCATCCGGAAGTATTTGACTTCTAATACCGCTTATGGGAAAACGGGGATCCGAGATGTCCACCTGGAACTGAAGAACTTGACCATGTGTGGGCGCACGGGGAACCTGCACTTCATCCGCTTTCCCAGCTGTGCTTTGCACAGGTTCATTCAGATGGGCAGCGAGAAGAACTTCTCCAGCCTTCATACCACCCTCTGTGCCACAGGAGGAGGGGCCTTCAAGTTTGAAGAGGACTTCAGAATGGTATGTCGGGGTTGTCCTTGTCAGAGCAACAGAACCACCTCACAGAGAAAGAAAGCCTCTCACATGCCTAAAATCCCTGCAGCTCATCTGAAGAACTAGACTCTTAGTCTTGGGATGTAGCACAAGCTTGCTTCACTAGAATGTGGCACAAGCTAGTTCCTACTGGGGCTGGAGAGAGAGATAGTATAGCAGGTAAGGTGCTTACCTTGCATGTGGCTGACCCAGGTTCCATCCTTGTCATCCCATATGGTCCCCTGGCAATGTCAGGAGTAAGCCCTGAGCACTGTCACGTGTGACAACTCCCCCCTCCCCCCAAAAAAAACACCTCCCAAAACAAAAACTAAAAAGCAACAAAAACCCAAGTTCTTACCACTTAGGGTTGTTATGTAAAGGATTAATTGCTCAAGAGATACTAGATAACAATCATTTTCATTGGACTTCCTTCTGCACAGTATTCTGAAAATAAGATGATGTAAATACTCTTCTGAAGTATTTCAGTTACTTTTCCACAGAATTGAAAAAGCAGTATTAAAAAAAAATCATTTGGGTCATGGAAATGACTCTCAAGGGCTGGAACACATGCTTTGTTCACCTGAGGTGTTTTACAGTTTTATAGGTTCTGCTTCCCAGAGGCCGAGCTCGTGGTGCCAGATGTTGAACTTAGACCCTTGCAGATATGCTACCACTTGAGTTACCACCCCAGCCCAGTTTTCTACTGTTTTTGGGGTTGAGGGGAGGGAAGGTTGGGCCACACCTGGTGGTGGTCAGGGTTTACTCCTGGCTCTGCACTCAGGAATCACTCCTGACAGTGTTTGGGGACCACACGGGATGCCAGGGGTTGAAACTGGGTTGACCACATGCAAGGCAAGCGCCCTACCCATTGTACTATCTCTCCAGCCCCAATCTAGCAAAACTTTAACATCTGTGAGTTCCAGTTTCCTCCATTCTGTCGGACCCATCTGATAGGGGAGAAACTGAGAATAAAGTGAAGAAACGGAGACCATAAATTAGGAAGGTTTGTCAACATAAGTGATTGAACATAGGAGAAGAGAAGGTTACATGATTTGGAGATTAGCTTCACCAGAAAGTTGAAAATATGATGGGTAACTGGCAAAATCCATTTTTCTCATAGGCTCATGTAAATGACTGGCATTTTGTCACAGAGCTGAAATAATCCAGTCTTCAGTATAAAGTCTATCGTTAATGACCAAGTTAGTGAATCTATGCATTATTCATGGCACTAAATACGGTATACATGAAAATTTTGTCTAAAGAAAGGTAACATTGTTCTTTTTTCTCATTGGTTGAGTAAGTAGCATCTATAAGACTAGAGCAGAATACAAGTGAGACTGTTTCTGGTTTGGGCTCCTTTCCCTTCTGTGTCTTCTTTTCCTATTCAGCAATTTGACACCTCCTCTTAAATGATCTGTGGGGGATATTTTTCCCCACCAGAGGGGCCCTAATGACCAAAGAGTTTTGAAACTGAGAAGGTAGAGCATAAAATTAAATTAGGTTTACTGAACATAAAAATTAAATTTGAGGGCCAGGGTATAGTACAGTATGTAAGGTGCTTGCCTTGCACTCTGCCAATTCAGGTTTGATTCCTGGAACCACATACGGTCCCCCAAGCCTGCCAGGCATGATTCAGGCCTTAGCTCAGGAGTAAGCCTTGACCACCACTAAATGTGATCCAAAACCAAAACAAAATTAAATTGGAGTCTAATGAGAAGGCACATTCCTGCATTTAACCACCTAGAGCTCTTTGGGTAAGTTATACCTCTGCTGGGGCCTTGAGTTTCATCATCTATGAGAAAGTGGCTGTCAGGTGGCAGAGGAAGCAATTTTAGGATGGCAGAATTGCAAGTGGTCTCTGCAATATAGAAAGGCCACACCATTCTTATTACACAAACAGGGAAAATAAGGTTTGAGTTTAGGAGTGTGTAGGAAGAGCCAGTATATCTGCTCATTTCTGATGGGGCAAGAAATCCTGATCCACCCCTACTGAGAGCTTCACCCCCCCCTTTTCTCTACTGTCCTCCCCCCGCCCCCAAGGACACCCTGTCTCGCCATTTCCACTCAGGACCCTCAGTGGACCAGGGTGACCCTGAAGTGTTATGCAACTTCTGCCAGTGCCTCTGTGCCTCCTCTGGGGTAATACATGCCCTGGGAGAAAGTTGCTCAGTATACGTCGGCCTTGAGCAAGTGCATTTCTCAAGGTTCCGAACTGAGAAAGGTCAGATCTTTACAACCAAGATAACAAGGCTGGCGGCTGGAGTCTTGTGAATAGCACATTGGAAGTATTTGCCAACAGCTTGGCCAGGTGCGGGGCCCGTATCTGTACCAGTGGGATGAATGGGCTGGCCGTTTTTCATGCTTATGCGTGGTCCTGGAAAAAGGTGAAGACAAATTTAAGTCAGATCTCGTCCTGCAGATTGCTTGCCATCGCACTGAGTGATGTGCTCTTACCCTTCCTAAGTTTGTGAGGTTTTTATCACCTTCTTTTCTATGTGCTCATTCACTCACTCGTGTTTATCATGCTCCTTTCATACACCCAAGTATTATCAAGAACAAAGTCAAACCCTGATCCTCCAAAAGCAAAATTTTAATTGTAGCGTGGGGAGTTTGTCAGTGATCAGACAAGCGAAATAAGTTAAAAGATCTATCAAATGGTGACAAGTGGTGTGGAGCAGGGGAAAGTAGGGCAAGGAGAAGAAGAAGAGGATTCAGAGCTTCGGGAGGGTCTGTGGGCGTGAGGTAACATTGGCGCAGGAGCCACGGGAAGCAGTAGAGCAAAGCATGCTGGTATTGGGGGAAAAGGTCAGGCGGAGGTGACCTGGGGCCAGGGCCTTCGGTGTGCAATAGCCAAGCCTTTTCTCTTGACAGTAGACACTCGAAGGTGATTACTTACTTGTAAAGGATCAATATAATCTACTGTGTATGTTTAAGAGTCTAGTTTTATAGGTAAAGCAGTTGCATATGTCTATCAAGTCCTGTTACTGCATAAAATCGCTGCTTTCGTTATAATGCAACTTTGCAAATGACGTGCTTTGAAAATCTTGTTAAAACTAAAAGGTTTTTTCCAAAGGGTTAGTGTTTGTTACGTATATTTGATGTCTGTTGTTCTTTTTGTATATAGTAAATGTATCTAAGTCCTTAGATAATAGTAAGTACTCTTCATACAAAAAAGAGCTATGAAGAGACAAGCATTAAATCCGACCTGCGTAGAATACTTTCAATTGAACAAAGCTGCATTTCTTTCTTCCCTTTTCTTTCCTTTTTTGTTCTTCCCTCCCTCCCTCTCCCCCCTCCTTTATTCCTTGTTCTTTTAACATTTTAGGTTCACTGTCACAAATAAATCTCTAACTGGCCAAAATTAGTCTTCAAAATTAATGATGCATGAAAATGGAACACAAAAGAAAAGCTTACTCTAACTACAAGTGGTCCAAGAAAAAGATAAACCAATGAGGGATTCCACCATTTAAAACAGTGATTCTCAGAGGGAGACTCCTGCGTGATTGTGCCCCAGGACACTTACGACTGTAGGTTTCACTTAACTTTGTGTTTCTCCCCACTGTCTCTATTCCATGAGTTTTGTTTGAAAAAATCTGCCAGAATGTTTCAAACCTAATGTTTTTACCCACTACTACACTTTCTAACTTCATCAAGAGTGTTCTTTAAAATGCCAGGTATTACAACAATAATAGAAAATGTTATAGAAAAAATTGTCTTTAAAAAATTTTTTTTATGATAACACTGTGATTTACCAAGTTGTTCATAATGCAGTTGTTTTGGCATTGAATGTTCTAACACCAGTTCAGCACACTGTGCTCTTTCCTCCAATGGCCCGTTTCCCACCCGCCACCCAGGCACAATCAGATTTGCTTCTTATTGTTAGTTACAAAGGCAAATGGGATTATCAAATCATAGATCAATGAGTCAATTTGTGATAATTGCTATATCTCACAAGGATGTCACTAAATCCTTTGTCTGAGGATCTGCTGTGCTGGTTAGTGCTAGCTGAGCCTTCTGTGTGTGTTTTTTTGGGGGGGTATGGAAATTTTTATTTATTATTATTTGTAATTTTATTGAACACCGTGAGATAGTTAGAAGCTTTCACGTTTGGGTTACAATCACACAATGATCAAACACCCATCCCTCCACCAGTGCACGAGCCTTCTGTGTTTGTTTAGGCTCACTGAGCTTGGTGCTCTTCTGTGCAATTTTCCCATCAGATTTGCTATGACCCTACTGGGCTGACAGTACTGTGAAGTTTTGAGGTGTTGGGGGTGTTGTGCAGTCCAAGAGCTGTAGATCTGGAACACTTTAGTGGCTGGGTAGTTTGATAAGATTCAGTTGTGGAGCTGGCCTGTTTCTAAGTCACAGGGTGTTAGGTGGCTGCGGGCTCCTGTGCCTTTAGGGAGAAAGGAAAATCTGCCCACCCCCATTCCAAGAAGGCCCCAGAGTGCTCAGCCCAGACCGACCTGGGAGGATTTGGCAGAATCACGTTCTTTTGGAGATCTGCTATTGGGTCTTTTCTTTGCTGGCAATAGCTGGCCAAAGTTGTCTTTTCTTATTCATCTAGCTCATGTTTTCCATTGTCTGCTTTAGTTCACAACATTGCTTTAAGACTAACAATAGTTAAACATTATAAGTAACTCATTTCTTTTTATTTTATTTCAAAATAAAGCACCTACCTCCTAAACAAATAATAGTGAACTTATTCTGAATGATGTTGACATGAGATTCAAGGCACAAAAAAAGGATTTTTTGATTTCTTCGTCCTAGTTCTTTCAAAATCTGTGTGAACTTAAGAGTCTGTCTTTGAGAGCTGGAGAGATAGAGCAGTGGGTAGGGTGCTTGGGTTTGATCTCTGGCACCACATTGAGTCTCTTGAGCCTGCCGGGAGTGATACCTGAGTGCCAAGCCCCTGTGTGCACTGTTGGGTGTGGCCACAAAACAGAACCAAACAAAAAAACAAAGAATCTGCTTTTCTTAAACCA